AAAAAAAAAAAAAAAAAAAAAAAAAAGCCTCTCACACGTTAGCAATCACTTTCCACTGTGTTTTGATTTAAAGCAGTCAGTTTCACATTCAATAGATCGATCCAAATGTTGATGCATACAGATCCGTATCAACGAGATTCAGATTTAATGTCCTATTCATCCAAAACAGTTCTTCGCGTGTTTCGAATTGGAATATCAGATCCAAACGGATCATAAACACAAAACTAACAACCCAAAGCTAAATGGTCGACGAATACCAAATCAACCACAGATCTAAGGGAAACAGAAAGAGCAAACCTGACGCAGATCCAAGTTCCGAGATCTTCAACGATGTCAGATCCAGGGGGTAAGTGAGTGACTTCTTTTCTCTCTCTATCTCTCGCACCTTATAATCGCTCCCCTACCCTTCCTTGCTTAGTGCTTGCGCAAAGAGCGACTAACAAAGATCAAGATAATCGTGGGTTGGGTAGTTATACCCTGCAACGCATACACATGTGTCGGTGCTACGATCACCGTTCCTCAAAGCGTTATATTTATTCTTTATTTGTCGCCTATTTTTTGGGTCATTTGTCTATAATAAATAATTACAGAAATATCATAGCATAACACTAAAATAATTTTTTAATCATAAATTTCATTAAAAATTAAAATATTGGCCAACCAAAATAGCATTTGAATTTTTTGTCTCAAAATAACACTAGAAGGAAAAAGTCATTAATAGGCAAAATATCTCTAATATCCTTACTTTAAATTAATACTAATTCTAAACATTATCAATACTAAACCCTAAACTCTAAAAATATTAAGTCTTCTCCTTCAACCCTAAACCCTAAAACATCAATCATAAACCCTAAACCTTTCTAAATTCTAAACCATTAACAATGAACCTTAAACTATAAAAAAATGCTCAATCTTTAACACTAAAAAATTACCTTAAATTATAATCCTCAATTGTAAATCCTAAAGCCTAAACGCTAAATCCTAAATCCTAAACCATATAAATAAACTCTAAACCCTAAAACCTAAGCCCTAAATCACAATTCTAACTTTAAACCCTAAACATTCAAACCTAAACTCTAAAACATTAACCCTAAATTCTAAACCTTAAACCTGAATTTTAAACCCAAAATCATCAACACAAAACCATATACCCTAAAAATAAACTCGAAACCTTAACCCTATAAAATGATCCTAAACCTTCAACTCTTAATCCTAAAACATAAATTCTAAATCCTAAACTCTAATTCTAAACCCTAAACCCTAAAACCTCAACTATAAACCTTACTATCAACACTAAACCCTAAACCATAAAAGTAAACCCAAAACCCTAAAACCTAAACACTAAACCACAATTCTAAGCCCTAAGTTTAGAGTTCTAGAATTGATATTTCAGGGTTTAAAGTGGAAGTTTCAGAGTTTAAGGTTCAAAGTTGAAGTTTTATGGTGTAGGGTTTTAGAGTTGATGTTTCAGTGTTTAGGGTTTAGAGTTGAAATTTCAGGGTTAGGGATAGAGTTGGAGTTTCAGGGTTTAGAATTGATTTTTGAGAGTTTAGGGTTTAAAGTTGAAGTTTCAAGATTTAGGGTTGTAGAACTGATGTTTCAGGGTTTAGAGATAAAGTTTCAGAGTTTAGGGTTTTAGATTTGGATTTTCAGGGTTTAGGGTTTAGAGTTGAAGTTTCAGGGTTCAGAGTTTTAGAGTTGGATTTTCAAGGTTTAGGGTTTAGAGTTAAATTTTCAAGGTTTACGGTTTTAGAGTTGATGTTCAGGGTTTAGAGTTGAAGTTTCATGGTTTAGGGTTTTAGAGTTGATGTTTCAGGGGTTTAGAGGCAAAACATCAGGGTTTAAGGTTTTAGAGTTGATGTTTCAAGATTTAGGGTTTAGATTTGAAATTTAAGGGTTTAAGGTTTTAGAGTTGATGTTTCATGGTTTAGAGTTGAAGTTTCAGGTTTTAGGGATTTAGAGTTTAGAGTTGAAGTTTCAGGCTTTAGGGTTTTAGAGTTGATATTTCAGCGTTTAGGGATTAGAGTTGAAGTTTCAGGGGCTTAGAGTTGATGTTTCAGGGGTTTAGAGGTAAAACATCAGGGTTTAGGGTTTTAGAGTTAATGTTTTAGGATTTAGGGTTTAGATTTGAAGTTTTAGAGTTTAAGGTTTTAGAGTTAATGTTTCAGGGTTTAGAGTTGAAGTTTCAAGTTTTAAAGTTTTTAGAGTTGATGTTTCAGGGTTTAAGGTTTAAAGTTGAAGTTTTAGGGTTAAGGGTTTTAGAGTTGATATTTCAGGGTTTATGAATTAGAATTGAAGTTTCATGGTTAGATTTATTTAGAGTTGATGTTTCGGGTGTTTAGAGGTAAAACATCAAGGTTTAGGGTTTCAGAGTTGATATTTCAAGATTTAGGGTTTAGATTTGAAGTTTCAGGGCTAAGGTTTTAGAGTTGATATTTCAGCGTTTAGGGATTAGAGTTGAAGTTTCAGGGTCTTAGAGTTGATGTTTCAGGGGTTTAGAGGTAAAACATCAGGGTTTAGGGTTTTAGAGTTGATGTTTTAGGATTTAGGGTTTAGATTTGAAGTTTTAGGGTTTAAGGTTTTAGAGTTAATGTTTCAGGGTTTACAGTTGAAGTTTCAGGTTTTAAGGTTTTAGAGTTGATGTTTCAGGGTTTAGGGTTTAGAGTTGAAGTTTTAGGGTTAAGGGTTTTAGAGTTGATATTTCAGGGTTAACGAATTAGAATTGAAGTTTCATGGTTAGATTTATTTAGAGTTGATGTTTCAGGTGTTTAGAGGTAAAACATCAAGGTTTAGGGTTTTAGAGTTGATATTTCAAGATTTAGGGTTTAGATTTGAAGTTTCAGGGTTTAGGGTTTTAGAGTTGATATTTCAGGGTTTAGGGATTAGAGTTGAAGTTTTAGGGTTAGGGTTTAGACTTGAAGTTGCTGTGATTAGGGTATAGAATTGATGTTTTAAGGTTTATGATTTAAAATTGAAGTTTCAAGGTTTAGGGTTCTAGAATTGATGTTTTAGAGTTTAAATTGGAAGTTTCAGGGTTTATGGTTTAGAGTTGATTTTCATGGTTTAGGGTTTTAAAGTAAATTATAAAGAAGTGACATAAGAATAAATTATCCATTAACCTATTATTTTTTAATTAGTCAAAGAAATGACATAAGGGTAAATAATCTTTTTAATGAAACCTATTTTTGTGACTTTTGGTTTTGAGTGTTAGTTTGTGGACAAAAACTTGGATTTGTACTATTTTGGACTTTATTTCTAAAATATATTTATAAGGGAAATTTCACTAAAAACTAACAAACATTTATAAAAAAAAATAAAAATAATAATTTGGAAAATATCTTAAAAATAAATTTTGAATTTCAAAAACAAACGTCAAACAACAATTGGAAAAAAATATGTAATAGTTTACAATAAAAAATGAGAATTCGGCCAAAGAAAAAAAACGAACTTTGCACAAATTACCAAAAGAAACCTTGATAAGCTGACCAAAAGAAACATATACTTTTCTTGACTTTGTTAGTTTATTAAGAAACCTACGGTTGACTTACCATTTAAACACACCGCTAACCCAGTTAACAGATAATTTAGACGCTATTAAGTCGATGTTAATCTTGGCGTCAAGTAATACGATGTCGTTTCATTTCTTTGTATGATTAAAGACAACTGAATGAAACGACGTCGTTTTAGATAACTTTCTTATTAAAAAAATTGTGCTTCTGTCGCGACTCAAACCCGTGCAATCATAGTTAATGGGAGGGGATTTTCCACTGAAATAGTGGTCTTTACAATGTATTGACCAACATAGTTTATTTTAACATATAACATCCTAAGTTCTTAATAAAACATTTACTTTAATTTGATATTGATTAAATATAAATTTTTTTCCTAAAAACTTAAAAAGATTTTTAAATTTCAAAAAATTGAAAAAATAAAGAAACTTTTTTATAAATTTAGTTTTGAAATTATAAATAAAATAAAATTTTATTTTTCTTTTAAAATAAATTAAAAATCTTCCAAAAAATTCATTTTTTAATTCAAAAAGTTTAGAATTCAAATAAAATTCAGAATTTTCCTTAAAAAAAATTGCTACAAATTTGAAATAAATTATACACATATAAAATATATCCACATATTAAAATTAAATTAAAATGCTTAGAATAAATATTGTTTTAATTTTTAGTTGATGCTTGTAACTTTAATTTTTTGTATTTTCTTTGAATTTTTAATATTTTGGAATTTAAAAAAAAAAACTGAAAATTTTGGAAGATTTTTGATTTTTAAAGAAAAAATAAAATTTTATTTTGAAATTAATTTTATAAAAAAAAAATTCTTTCTTTTTCAATTTTTTTTTGAAATTTTAAAGTTCTTTTTAACTTTTTAGGGAGTTTTTATATTCAATCAGTACTAAATAAAAGTAAATGTGTTAGTAAGTCCATTGAAAGCGCCACTAGCCCAATGGCAAAATTCCTAGCCATTTGATCCTAGAACTTAAGTTCGAATCCAAGGGTCTACATGTTTTATTTTCAAATTACGTAAAACGACGTCGTTTCATCTCATTTGAAAACGTAAGTTTCTTAATAAACTAACAAAGTCAACAAAAGTACATGTTTCTTTTGGCAATTCGTGCAAAGTTCGTGTATTTTTTGGCCGAATTTCTCAATTAAAAATGTTTAAGGGTTTCTATAATAGTCAGATCTGGGGTTCAAGTTTAGAAGACGCAATTGCTTTGAGATTATAAGATGCACAGCTTATCAGAGGTTCTATAGTACTTCAGGTAGAACCGTTCGCTGTAGTAGTTTGTTGCATATGGGCAT